CCCATCCCCTCCAGGTTTGTACCCACCATTCTGCACCTCAAGAACTGCCTTATCCTGATTTCCTCTCCCTCTGGAGCAGTGATTTTCCCCAGAAAAGCTCCTTTACTCACAGGCACATCACCGCACTGCATTGCCTCGTCCTGTGTTTCATGGGTGGGAGCTGCCTGCAGCCCCTCACCGCAGCGTCTGAGCCCAGCCGAGGCGCACAGACAGCACCCTGTCCCTCTGACTTCAGCGTGGGCATTGTGTGTCCACGTGCTGCAGAGCCTGGCTAAAACTGGGGAAGGGAATTGAGGAAGGCTGGGTGTGGAGGGACCTGGATTCCGTTAGCATTAACAGCCATCCTTCCCCCCCACAGCCAAGCCCTGGACCCAGAGACCTCCCATCTGCCCAGCCAGGTAAGAGCGAGCTGTGACGTGGGGAAGAGCATCCCACGGTGATGCTCCAGCTTGCAGGGATTCCGTGAGGCTCTGGGGCCAGGGTGGGCAACGGGTGAGCAGCAGCCACCACCTGTGGAAGCTTTCCCTTGGGACAGCATTCCCCATGTGCGTGCCCTTCCGCAGCAAAGCACCAAGGAGGACAACAACATCCACTACGCCGATCTCCAGCCCCTGCCTGCAGCCCCGCAGCTCGGCAGGAGCCCCCACACAGCCCGCTCTGAGTATGCCAGCATCAGGGTCGCTGCCAAGTGATGTGTGGCACCGCAGCCTGCGAAGAGCCCGTGCGGGGGGAGAAAGCCGGGATATTTCTGCAGGGCTCAGTAAAGGAGAAGTGGATCTGTTTGGGTGCACAGCCTGTCCAGGCTTGCACGCCACGCTCGGAGCTGGCAAAGCTTCCCTAATTCATTCCCACCTCGGCGTCAGGTGAGGCTCAGGCTGGATCTGCTGTGCTGGGGCTCAGCAGCAGCTCTCCAAGGACCCAGCAGCTGTCTCAAACACAGGACGAGGCCACGAGGCCGAGCACCTTGTTCAAGCTATTGGGTGCCGATCACAGCAGGAGGACTTCACACAGGCCTGTTCCCACCAGCACAGGTCACAACCAGCACTTCCCTCGCTCAGCAGGTCCATTATCTGTGTTAGCTCGTCACCACACCGAGCCCATCCTCATTAAAGCCAGCAAACAGCCACTGTCATCCAGTCCTGTTGTGTTCAGAAGCAAGAGCAACAGTGCTTGTCCCATGGGGTCCACGGACATGGTGCCCTCTGCAGCCTCATGCCAGTTCGGGCCGATATTTGGGAATGTGGCTCATGGTGCTGTGGTAGCTGGCACCAGCTAATTCTCCTCCTCCCCAGTTTGTGCATATCTCCTGTTTCAGCCCGAGCCAGCCCATGCATAGCCCCTGCTCCATCCACAGCTGTTCCATGCACATCTGCTTTGTCCACATCTGCTTTGTGCACATCAGCTCCATGAGCATCCCCTGCTCTGTGCACATCTGCACCATGCACATCCCCTGCTCCATGCACATCTGCTCGGTGCCCACCTCCAAGGGGAGCAGGCTGGTGGCCAAGGCTGGAGCACGGTGACCACAGGAAGCCACAGGGTACACGCACCACGTGGTCACCACTGTGCACTCGGTGTCACACACGTACCTGCACCCTGCCATGGTGGCTGGTGCTCCCCACATTGGGTCCTTCACATGCACAGCCTGAGGGGAAAACACACTTTTCAAGCAGAGGAACCTGCTGCGGTGGCCGCCTGTAGCCTTGAAAGCTGCTGCAGCTGCTGGTCTCCAATTTTATCTGCTTCTCACTTTTTGCCTGTAAAATCAAAAGAGAAGTGAAACAAGAGAGCACGAGCTCACAGCATGTGTGCACCCAGGGGAGCCTCAGCTGCCAGCAGAGACCTCGGGCACAGAGGTCTCCATGGGGGGAGAGGAGCCACCATTGAGGTATATTTGCATGACTGAATCAGCATCCCCTGCTCTGGGGGACATGACCTGGGACAGTTTTGGGAGGGGATTCTCCCCTTCTACTGCGCTCTGGCGAGACCCCCTTCAGTCCTCATCCAGCTCTGGGGCAGCAGCAGTAGAGGGACGTGGAGCGAGGAGTGAGGCCAGAGGAGGCCCCGGAGCTGCTGCGAGGGCTGGAGCAGCTCTGCGCTGGAGCCAGGCTGAGAGAGCTGGGCTGGGGGAGCTGGCGAAGAGAAGGCTCCTCAAGGGGAGACCTTAGAGCAGCTCCGGTGCCTAAAGGGGCTCCAGGAGACCTGGAGAGGGGCTTTGGACAAGGGATGGAGGGACAGGCCAAGGGGAATGGCTTTAACCTGCCAGAGGGGAGACTGAGATGAGCTCTGAGGCAGAAGCTCTTCCCTGTGAGGGTGCTGAGGCGCTGGCACAGGGTGCCCAGAGAAGCTGTGGCTGCCCCATCCCTGGCAGTGTTCAAGGCCAGGTTGGACACAGGGGCTTGGAGCAACCTGCTCTGGTGGAAGGTGTCCCTGCCCGTGGCAGGGGTTGGAGCTGGAGGAGCTTTGAGGTCCCTTCCACCCCAACCGCTCTGTGATGCTATGATTTATTCCCCAGGGGCAGTGAGGGGCCGTGGGAAGAGGGGTACCGGGATGAAGCCTCCCGCAGCACCAGCTCCCAAATGGAGCCACAGCCGTGCTGGCAGCAGCTCATGTCCCAGCTCTGAGCAGGACCCGGGACTGCCCAGGCCCTGGCAGGGAGGATGCCAGAGCTCACTGTGAGCTCGCGTCAGGATCACGAGCGGGAGTATGTAAAGTACGTGGGTGAGACCGAAACCGGGGATAGACCTCGCAGACACGGGGAAACGAAATTCACGGGGATTCAGGGCTTTTCAAGCACAGGGCAGGGCAGGAGGGAGGAAATCCAGTTTGATACAAGCATATGCAAAGCAGAGCAGAGCCCCGTGGAGCACTCTGCACCTAGTAAAGGGCCCAGGTCTGCAGCTTAGTGCCCAGGGGAGGGATTTGGTGGTTATTATAGGAAAATCCTTTAAGCCACCAGCCTGGGGTGTGCGGCAGTGAAAGCACAAACAGGCGCCCGAGCACGGACACAAGGTAGGAGCGTGTCGGGGTGCACCTGGCTCGGGGGGTCCTTGTGGTGGGTCCTGTTGCTGCTGGAGTCACTTCCCATTAAGCCGCCCGTTGCGTGCTCGGGCGAGAGAGGTGGGTGGATGCGGGTGATGCTGGGGCTGGTACCCACCAGGCTCCTCCTGCCCGTGGTGCGGAGCTGGTGGATGGATGGTGGGGCTCAGTGTCCCAGCCAGGGAGGGGACACACCAGCTCCAGCTGGGTTATGGGCTGTATCCCAGCCCTGGACCCATCCATGAACATGCTGGAGTGGTGCTGTGCCAGGGCAAGAATGTGGATGAGGCTGTGTTGGTGTGTCCTGGCAAAGCAGCCCCTGCCAGGGTGAGAAGCTCCCGGCACACGCGGGATGGATGGTGGGGCTCAGTGTCCCAGCCAGGGAGGGGACACACCAGCTCCAGCTGGGTTATGGGCTGTATCCCAGCCCTGGACCCATCCATGAACATGCTGGAGTGGTGCTGTGCCAGGGCAAGAATGTGGATGAGGCTGTGTTGGTGTGTCCTGGCAAAGCAGCCCCTGCCAGGGTGAGAAGCTCCCGGCACACGCGTGTTGTGGGTCTTTAGCTGGGCTTTTCCTCCGTGTGGTGTGTGAGCTCGGTGCCAGGACCTCGTGGGATGGCAAAGCCAAGGAAAGGGCTGTTTGGGATGGGATGGGGGAGAAGGCAGGAAGCAGGAGCTGGGGAAGGGTCGGGGAGGTGGGAAATGGCCGGTGGAGGTGCTGAGGTGAGAGGGCTGGCAGGGGTGCCGGGCAGTGGTGTGTGCCATGCCATGCAGTGCCGTGCAGTGCCGTGCAGAGCCGTGCCAGGGAGCCAGCGTGGGAGGCACGGGCTGTGCCAAGAGCCAACGGGGAGCAGGAGCCTCAATGGAAAACACAGAGTAACAGAGAGCAATTAGTGCAGAGAGCGTGATGGAGGAGGCTGGCCAGGAGGAGGAGCAAGGGTTTAATTAGCACCGAGGAAGGGCATGGGCTCAGCTAGCGATGGGGTGGCTGAAACGGGCGGTGCAGGGTCTCCCTGGAGCCCTGGGGGCAGGGGAGGGCTGGCAGCGCTCGCAGGGAGCGGGACAAAGCTGAGCTTGTGCTGGAGCCGGGGCTGAGCAAGGAGAAAATGGGAGAGAGAGGGATAAACGCCCCGTGTGCTGCCCCGGGGTGCGCCAGCTCCATGGTGGGAAGCAGAGACCCCTCCACGCTGGCGGTGCCTCCCACAGGGATGGGTGCCCAGAGGCTGTTGTGTCTCCCGGCCACGCTCCGGCTCATCCTTTCTAGAAGGTGCTGGGGGTGCACGGCGGGCTCGACCCTGCTCCCACCCATTCCAGACCCACCAGCTCGCGCCTTCACAGCTCCCCATTTCTCAGGCTTTTCCTTGGAAAGCCAGGAATGAAGCTGAAGTAAAACAGTGACATGGGCTTGATGCTGTTCCTGATTTATTGCGCATCTTATTGAATCTTCTTCCCCAGTTTCACAGTTATTGTGGGTTTTTATTAGAGGGGATAAACAGGTCTGGGATTTGGGGTTGTCATAGGAACTGGTTTAGTGCTGCAGCCTCACCACCAGCCTCATCCTCCCCCCGGGTTCCTCGTGCAGTGAGGATCTCACCAGCACCGCAGAGGTGTCTCCAGCCCCCCAAGCACTGGGGCACCCTGTGGGACCCCCAGGGTGTTCCTGGAGGAGGTGGGCTCCGTGCCCACACCACAGCCTGGCCCTGCAGCCATGGAGAAGTGAACCAGGGCCCCTCGGCTTTAAGCTGAGGAGAGGCGTGGAGGATGCTGCTTGTCCATGGGGATTCTCTGGTGTCTAATAGGAGGTTGTGCTATTGCAGCTATTACTACCGGGAAGCTCTCTGTCTGACCTGAATGATTTTCATTAGATCCCTGGAGCCCAGGGGACGTGGGGCAGATCAGGGGCAGCCCTCCAGCCATTCCCCATCTCTTCTATGGCAGGCAGAGGGGGCAGGCGCTGAAAATGAAAGTGTCAACCGCATTTCAAAGGAAATCCTTTGTGCCCAACACTTCTTTGGCCTGCAAAATCCTTCACCGCAGGATGTCGTGGAGGCCAAGACTCTGGCAATGACTAAAGAGGGATTTCCAGGACCGTGGGATGAACAGGAACATCTAGTGCTTAAGAAAGACTCACTTTGTGTTTCTGGTGTTTCACGGGACACTGCTCAGGAACAATCACCCTCTGGAGCCGCTCGGGAGGTGGATCCAGCTGCGGTGCTTGGTCCTGCCAGCGCCCCAGAGAAGGTCACAGTGTGGCAGGGGGGGTGTCCTGCACGCACTGAGGGTGACGTTGGTGGATCAGCCATTGGTAGCACATTGGGGTGGTCCTGAACCCCGACATGCACACATGCGTCATGTCCGCAGTGACCCACACACGCTGCTGGGCT